TCTACTAGCTGTTTTGTTGAGAAATTATTCATGTAATACACAGAAACGTTCTCAATCTATTTTACAGGCTCTCATCAGGTTTAAAACACAATATCTTAATCATTACAAAATAGAACATTCGAATAAAGGAATGTTCGAAATTTTACATTTAAACGCGTTTTCCTATATGTAATTGGAGACGTGTATAAATTGGTACAAAAAAGTTTTCAACTTTTTGTACCAATTTATTATTTACTCTGTATAAACAGTTTATATTTTGTGATCTGAAATAATTTCATTCAACAAATTTACATTTGCGATTTTAATTTACTCAAAAAATCAATTTTTTGTTATTTGAAATAATTTCATTCAACAAATTTTTATTTGCGATTTTAATTTACTCAAAAAATCAATTTTTTGTTATTTGAAATAATTTCATTCAACAAATTTTTATTTGCGATTTTAATTTACTCAAAAAATCAATTTTTTGTTATTTGAAATAATTTCATTCAACAAATTTTTATCTGCAATATTAAAAATTTTTATGTAATTTTAATTTCGTGATCAGTGCTATTTATTCTTTATGTGAACATACATTGAAAAATTAATTTTGTGATCAAAGCTGCCCAAACCACTACTACTACGTACTAGCGCTGCCATTGACTTATGTGTAACTGGAATGCTTTGAAAGAAGAATACAATGATTTGACTACTTATACGCAATTTAAACTGGCTGTAAAAAAATCGAGCTGTGACTAGTTGTGTGTATTTTTATTTTTATTATTTATTCTGTTTTTTTTACTGTTTTGCTAATTATTTATTTCATATATGTTGTACTTTTTGTTTCTTTTTGACCCTTTGAAAAGGCCAAGACCATAGAGTCGTTTGGTAAAACATATATATATATATGGACGTATGTGTGCCTATATTTCACTCTGCAACCAAAACTACACATCGCACATGAATGGTGTTTGTGTGTGGTAGTAGCCCCAAGTCTCCCATTGTGCACTATGGTGGTTGCGTCTCGATAGCTATAAGGGTATGGGAGATATGGGGGTTGAAGGTATTTGACTTCGAAAATGTGTAACAATGAAAGTGTTAAGAGAAAGCGGCTTGCAAGATTTACAGGCGCAGATGCTGCTTTTTGCGTTTTTCCAAAAAATCGAACATATTTTTAGACCCATATAAAAATTCTCTAATTAGTCTGGAAACGTGGGACCTTATTCTTGCATTCTGTAAAAACAGGTAAGATTGGCTATAATGTAATCTTAATAGTCGAATATTCGAAAATATTTTGGAATAGTCGAGGACCGTTATGTGTGAGTAGTTGCGATTGCTTTTGGCGAAGTGTGACGCACACGCTTCAGTTGATTTTTCATAAGTAAACGTGTACGAATAACAGAAAAAAGTAGAAAGTGAAAAATGAGTAGTGAAGTGTGAAAAGTAAAAATATAAAAAACAATGCCAAAGCGAAAGAAAGAATTTTTCTGGTCTCGAATCATATCTCAAAGGCAAAAGATGGCGCGGAGAAATGAAACCACGAAAGAAAGTAAAGTACATCTAACATTGCTACGAGAAAATTAACAACGAAACAGAAATAATCAGACAGAAGAGCAACTTGAAAATTATAGGGAAACGCGTCAAATCAGAGAAAATTATGTAGAGAAAGAAAATCAGTCTTTTACATATATAAAACAACTATATTACATATAAATGTACAAACAAATAAAAACCCAACGAAGCGGTTACTTGCAGCTAGTAAATAAATAAATAAATAATGGAATGAGCAGCTTCCTTTAATAAACATATCTTAAACGTACGTACAATTTTTTTTTTTAAAGTAAGAACTTTAGAAGTCATCTCACAAAGAGGTATCCAGGATTACGATATATACCAAATGTTTCGTAATAGTAGTTAGTATGGCCTGGAATAGTATGGCTGTTACCATACTATTCCAGGCGTGGTCTGTTCGTTTCTTTTGAGCGGTTGTCAATGTTTATGCCCAAGGACAATCTGCAGTCACATCCAATCATTCATTGTTTACCCATTAAGTTACCAGATTTCAACCTAGTCGTCGATCTGTTAACTGATTAATTACATGGAAGTTTTCCTTCCCAAATTCATTTGATCAACTTAACTTCAGATATTACATTTCTTTTTTCAAAACGCTTTCCTTCCTGTGACAACTAACAGGCCTCTTTTACATACCCGTTGTGGATTCAGCCAGGTAGTGAAAGAAGGAGCAGGCCACAGTCCGACTCCCATAATTACTAAAATTTTTTGATTCGACTGGATTTGTTCCTGATGGTTAAAAAGTTAAAATTCGAACTGTTTAATTACAATAAATATCATCAGCTTTGAGTTTACATCGATTAATTATAGCCAATACCTAATAATTTTAATAGAGATCGAATGATTTATATTCGATTCTAAATATGATTAAAACTACAATTTATACGCAGTTAATATTTTAAATTATGTGCAATATTTAATTAATTTCAAAAATTTTATCATTATGAATTTAGAGGACATATTGTGTTTGGAACATTGATTAAAATATTGAGAATATTAAGAGAATTTAATGTATTTAACAGTGCATTCAGTCCATTTAATAACAAAATAAGATATGCTTTTTCGTCTACAATCTAAAAAATACATGTTAGTTAATAATAAATCGCAAAAATAGATAACAGTGCTGTTAATTATACATCGCTTATTAGCATCTCAAAAGCATATACAAACAGTGTTAAATAATACGCTATTCTAGTTAATGAACTGTGAAAAAATATTTGTTAACAGTAACCCGATGATCATTATTTGACATTTTATGCGGTACTTGGTGGATGCAATAATTACTATTTTCTTCGGGTCTTTACATATTATTAAATCTGTATAACAATATAAAACTACTAAAACACTACTAAATTCAAATAACTGATTTTTTATACAGTATACGTCGCTTCAAAATAACTAAAACGGGATTACATGGACGTAATTGTAATTAAAGAATCAAATAAACTTAGGAATTCTTAGACAACAACATTAACATTAAATTTAACCTTTTTTATAGTAATAGTATAATACCATCCAAATGAAACGAAATAATTTTCACTATGATATTTAAACAAAGGAATAAACAGGAACCAACCAATTACAGACCAATAGCCCTTCTGTCTTGTCTACGGAAAATATTTACTACAATATTAGCTAATAAATTTAATTATTGGACAGCGGCGAATAATTATAGAAATAGTACGCAATTTGCATTTGTAGAAGGGGGTGGTACTCAAACAGCCCTCTTTGTCTTGCTGTCATTAATTCAAATTCAGTTGCTTAAAAAAAGACATAAAGTGTTCGCTCTGTTTTTGGATCTCGAAAAAGCATATGATATGATTAGCATTACTGACCTACAGAGTAAAATGAAGAGATGCGAGGCAAAAGAACTTTTAATAAATATGATAGGGTTGCTGTTCGGAAAATATAAGACAATTATTAAACAGGATACCAATATCTGGACACCATTCATTACCTACAGAGGTTTACTACAAGGTGNACTATATTTAAAAAACAATAGCGAGACTATTATTTTACATATAGGTATTTCGACAAAATTCAATGAACTTAAATTTTGATTTTGAACACGTAGAAACACTTTTGCGTTGCGCGTAATATTCGTTTTTGCAAAAAATTTCATCTGGCCCATTAGTCCCCCCCTTATTCAGATTCTAGATCAGCCGCTGGTCAAGGGTGTCACGATTTGTTATTTTTCAATTAGGTGTGCCACTCAATGAAAAAGGTTGAAAAACACTGCATTATCTGAAAGGAAACTTGTGTTAACTTCAACCTACAGATGACTCATCCATTCCCCTCCCATTACAGTAATTAGAGACATAATGTAAATAATGGCTTTAAAAATAGCTGTGTTCTTTATTTTGTAGATATAATTTATTAGATTTTATGTTATTTGATTTCTCTTAGACCAGAATATTTCTTATCAAAAGCTTCCAGTCGAAAAATTTACCGGGAGAATCGTTACTTTCGGATGTTGCGTAATCGCATGAAAAAAATTAACTAATCGGTTACTATATAATCCATTATTGTAAAAAGCGTTGAAAAATTATGTAAAAAGTCAAATATTCACTATTAGAAGCAGGAAAATATATAGACGAACTTTGTCCGATATTACCTGAGCCACACCACCCTATCAGTTAGTCACGAAGGGAAAATGTATATTGTAATGTATTGCAGAGATTTCTCGTCGTATTACGCGAGGGTTTTTGTTTTAAAATTACTAGCGCCGAATTTAAATTTCACATAATGTAAACAAAATTTCACTATTTGAACTAATGAAACATTGGAAAGTTGTATTCTCCGCGAGTGAATTTCATCTTGTTAACAGACAAAACATGAAAATGATGAATCGTTCTGTATGTATAAATAGTTTTAATATAGAAAAATGCAAACAAAGAACAAATCGAAAAATATTTTCTCGGTAAGAAAATTCAATGTTAAAAACGGAACATTGTGTTATGAAAATTCTTGGCCTATTACAAGAAATCTCTATAAACTGCAAACAAAAATTAATTTTAGACATTAGATAGAGCTGATATTAACACGATTTATATGATATATAACTATGTTAAACAACTAATTAAATAATAATTATGACATAATATTAATATAATTATATAGATAAGTATATGGTAACAACTAATATTGTTAAAAAATTATTATATGAGATGTTAATATGCGTTTCATCAAAATAAAACGCCCTTGTAACAGGCGAAAGCCTTCAACGCCAATAAAGTTTACTTACTTAATTACATTAAATTCTCTGAATTCTTAGACAGAACCGAAAACCAATTATAGTACAAGTGTCTTTATAACCATAAATTAAATCAGTATTCATTCTGATATCCCTATCCAATTATCATATATTACCGTTTATTTTACTACTGGTGATCGAAAATTTGAGAAAACCCTATTTTTTACGTTATAATGAATATGAAAAAAAATTCAACCGTTTTCATTCGAATGAGAGATGTTTGTGAAGATCTGACAGCTTCTACGGATTCTGGATTCATTATTCAACTTTAATAATCCCGAAAACACGGAATGAAGAGTTGTGGCCATCTGCAAATAAAGCATATAAAAAATTATTAAAATAATTATAGTTTCCAAAATGTATACTATATACAAGTATACATATACTTGTATGCCACTATTTACATTCCTTCTCCATTATTTACACTTTTCATTCGAATGAGAGATGTTTGTGAAGATCTGACAGCTTCTACGAATTCTGGATTCATTCTTCAACTTTAATAATCCCGAAAACACGGAATGAAGAGTTGTGGCCATCTGCAAATAAAGAACATGAATAATTATTTAAATGATTGGAGTATTAATTAACGTGTTGCAGAGATTTCTCGTATTACGCGAGGGTTTTTGTTTTAAAATCACAAGTACCGAATTTAAATTTCGCGTAATATAAACAAAATTTCGCTATTCGAACTAATGAAACATTGGAAAGTTGTGTTCTCTGCGAGTGAATTTCATCTTATTAACAGACAAAAATAAAAATGACGAATCGCTCCGTATTTATGAATAGTTTTAATATGAAAACTGCAAACATAGAACAAATCGCAAAATGAGAAAAATCACTCCATAAGAAAATTCAATGTTGAAAACGAAACATTGTGTTATGAAAATTATTGGCCTATTACAAGAAATCTTTCTATAAACTGCAAACAAAAATTAATTCTAGAAAAGTGTTCGACTGGTGAGCAGCAGCATGAAATTTAATCAAACTTTTTAATAACGATAACAGTTAAAGAAGTAAGCAATTTTTCAATGTGTCAATGGTAAATTTTCTTCAGGTATCGATGAAAAACGTGTCGTATGTAAACCTTTAGCGTTACAGCAGTAGTCTTCATCCTTGCATTGCGCGTAGTTTCGATTTGTGAAAGCATTTTTACAATATAAATTGATTTCTATTGCGTAATTATAAAAGCGTATTTCAGAATTGACAGAAATTTAGATCTTAAATAATAATCAAAGACACCACGTCAATGAACCTACCTTCTGAGGAATCCTCTTGTTGACACAAAAGAAACCTCCTATCGTCAGACACAAAGACACTTTTCCGAATCTTTTCATAAAATTTAATATCTAACAAAAAATTTGTATTAAATATAATTTATTAAAATAAATCAGAATTATAATAAAAGTAGAATGAAAATAAATCTGTACTTTAAGCTTTCTTTCCAGTTCCAAATGGCAGATTGCAAATTGACGAACGTCTTGAAATCCATTCTGCATCTAAATAATTAAAATTACATTAATAAATCGAAAATTGAATTAAAGTTTTAAAAATTAAAAAAATTAATCAAGTGTAAATAACGCGTACCGNTAGGTATTTTCATTTAAAAAAATTAAATTTAAAAAATCGTATTGTTTAACACAGCAGTTACAAAGTTGAAGTGTTTCTACGTATAACAAAACAGACCGCGTCATTCTAGCTTCAATAGAACCCCCGATGTTTACGTTCAAAGATTGATTTATGATCGGGGTGTGTCGAGTTACACTTACTGTCATGGCGTCGGCTTCCCGGTGTGATAAGCGATATTTATTTTTTGTTATTTTCAAATATTTAAAATTTAATAAATGTTCTGAATATAATTACTTGGATTGGCTTTTGTTTAGGTTGTCTGACTGTAAGATCGACAAATCAGTTCATCTCTAGTCATAAATATTCCCGGGAAATTTCACCTTCCTATAGTATGTCTATGGGAGACCTTCTTGTCGTTAATTGGCTTTAAATTTATTTTTTAGACGCCTTTTACTCTCTAATTAGTCAATTCTATTATGACTGAATCAATATTAACCAATGAGTGTTTTTTCAGAACCGCCTATTCAGGATTTTCCCGCGAAGAACCAATGACTCACAAAATCACGTGTTCGGAGTTAAAACGTAAACAAACGTTGAGAAATAGCTATATTCTTTATGTTATATCTGTAATTTTACTAGTTTTTATGTTATTTGACTTTACTTAGACCAGAAGATTACTCGAAAATTTTTCCGGGAAATTCAACTCCTTCTGACATTACATAATATGAGAAAATATGTAAATAAACCCATTCAAAATTGCGAATTACAGTCAAATATTGTAAAAATAGTCGAAATAATATAAAAATAATATAAAGTATACATTATCTGGAAGGAAACTTGTTAACTTAGACCTACAGATGACTCATTCATTCCCCTCCCATTACAGTAATTAGAGACATAATGTAAATAATGGCTTTAAAAATAGCTGTGTTCTTTATTTTGTAGATATAATTTATTAGATTTTATGTTATTTGATTTCTCTTAGACCAGAATATTTCTTATCAAAAGCTTCCAGTCGAAAAATTTACCGGGAGAATCGTTACTTTCGGATGTTGCGTAATCGCATGAAAAAAATTAACTAATCGGTTACTATATAATCCATTATTGTAAAAAGCGTTGAAAAATTATGTAAAAAGTCAAATATTCACTATTAGAAGCAGGAAAATATATAGACGAACTTTGTCCGATATTACCTGAGCCACACCACCCTATCAGTTAGTCACGAAGGGAAAATGTATATTGTAATGTATTGCAGAGATTTCTCGTCGTATTACGCGAGGGTTTTTGTTTTAAAATTACTAGCGCCGAATTTAAATTTCACATAATGTAAACAAAATTTCACTATTTGAACTAATGAAACATTGGAAAGTTGTATTCTCCGCGAGTGAATTTCATCTTGTTAACAGACAAAACATGAAAATGATGAATCGTTCTGTATGTATAAATAGTTTTAATATAGAAAAATGCAAACAAAGAACAAATCGAAAAATATTTTCTCGGTAAGAAAATTCAATGTTAAAAACGGAACATTGTGTTATGAAAATTCTTGGCCTATTACAAGAAATCTCTATAAACTGCAAACAAAAATTAATTTTAGAAAAGTGTTCGACAGGTGAGCAGCAGCGTGGAACTTTATCAAAATCCTCCATAAAGATAACAGTTAAAGTAAGCAACTTTTCAACGTTTCTATGGTAATCTTTCTTCAGGTATCGATGAAGAATGTGTCGTATGTAAACGTTACCAATACTCGTCAATCGACATAATGCAATGCGCGTAGTTTCCAATCGTGAAAGCATTTCCACAATCACAATATCAACCGATTTCAATAGCGTAAAATTAACATTTTGTATTACTAAACGCGTATTTCAAAATCGCAACAAGATTAATTATTTAATTTTGTTAATTAATACAAAATTTAAATCTTATTATTAATTAATTAATTAATCAAAATTAATTATTAGATAATGTTCCATGACACCGTGTCAATGAACCTACCTTTTGAGGAATCCTCTTGTTCACACAAAAGAAGCCTCCTATCGTCAGACACAAAGACACTTTGCCGAATCTTTTCATGAAATCCAATATCTAACAAAAATTTTGTATTTAATATTAAATTTATAAAAATAAATCCGAATTACAATAAAAGTAGAATGAAAATAAATCTATACTTTAAGCTTTCGTTCCAATTCTAAATGGCAGATTGCAAATTGACGAACGTCTTGAAATCCATTCTGCATCTAAATAATTAAAATTACATTAATAAATCGGAAATTAAATTAAAGATTTAAAAATCAAAAGAATTAATTAAGTGTAAATAACGAGTACCGTGAAAGCGATGCAGCATAGCAAACAGCCAAAGATAATGCAGATGAATGAAAAAACAATCATCAGTGACAACGTCCAAAATCTAATAGTCCAAGGCATATTAACGTACAAGTATGCGTAATACAAATAGCTCGTTCCCCAGATTATTCCGAAATAAACAAGTACGAAAGGCAATTCGAATTTTGTGTTCAACTGATTCATGTAAATCCACAATTCTTGGTGACGAATCATCAAATTTTGTAATTTTATTTTCAAATTTCTATCGCTTCTTCTTATCGCAGACATTTCGTAATTAAGTTCTTCAAATTCTTTCTGGAGGACAAGTATAAATAAAGCGGCTAACAGTAGAACATACAAAGATCCTCCTAAAATTAAACTCGTTACAAATCCCATGTCAACTGTACAAACAAGAGCTTCAAGTTGAAACTTTTGTTTGCTTAATACAGCCGGATAATAAACAGTCAGATTGAGAATTTGAAAAAGAATCGTTAATGTTATTACAATGAACGAAGCGTAAAATGAGACGTTTCTCATTAGAGTATTATTTTCGAAAATGAATTTCTCATAGAAATATCTGTTTTTCAATTTAGTAATTAGATTGAGCTTATTGCTGTTCATGAAGGTCAGGATGATTGAGTAGATGCAGAATAGAAATAGAAATAAAGTTTTCACTATTTTAGCATCCTCCTTAAATATTTCGTACCATCCAAGACACAACGCATATTCTTCTAAACCCGGTAACGATTGCCATAAGAAAAGTGCAGAAAATTGCCATAATAGAAACTGAACACATTGAATATAGAGAGTTTTTACTGTTTGATTTTTAAAAGAACATATTCGCTGTTCACAAAAACAAATTCGATACGGATCTAAACCGAATATAAGGGCTGTTGTCCAACAGGGTCTCAAGTAACAACTCATGCAAATTTCCTCTTGGATATTCGAATTCATTTTGTAGTAGTGGCTTAAACTATAAAACCGTGAAATGTCTACTCGTAACTGTAGGTTACGTAACGATTATTCTGATCACTCATAATTTTATCTGCATATAAACTTGATTTAAGAAGAACGAAATTAAATTCTGTCATGCCTTATAAGCCGATATTTATCACGAATGCATTCCTAGTTAATGGATTTTACCAATGGTACTTCATTTACTTGTTTGGTACGGTAAACAAGTAAATGTAATTTATGCATTTAAAAATGCATAAATAATATTTGATGATGCTATTATATAATTTTAAATAAATTACGTATGCATTAATTTGTTTACCATATCAAAAAATTTAGAGATGCTTAATTAAATTGTGATTTATTTATTTTTAAAAGAGAATAACGCGATGTCTCGTAGATAATAAGTACCTCCCCCAGTACAACAATCAGATAACATACCTAGCTAAAATTCATAGAACAAATCAAAATATAAATATAAACGCGTAAATAAACATTAAAACCATTAATTATAGTAAATTGTTTTTTACAAATGCTTTAAATTTGTGCAGATCTAGATAAAACTTGTCCTCGAGATTTTCAATTGCTTTATTATGGCGATACGAAAATGATTGGCTTGTGACACTCAAACGGCAACATGGCGTGTTAATGCATGCGTTTCGTCTTGTTGTAAGAGAAGAAATACGAATGTGAATATATTGAGAAGGGGAGTAAACCATTAAAATATTTATAAGTATATATTTGATCAAAGTATTGTATGCGTTTAAGAAGAAGAGTAAGCGGTCTGTAAAAGCTTGGTGAGAAATTTTATTGAGTTAAGAAATAAACTGGCTAAATAAAATGGCTACAATTATTAAAATAGAATGTTGATACAGTCGCAGGCGAGGCTGCGTGCGGCACTCGGGGAGTGAGACGTTACAAGTTACGAGGCATGCGGGGGAGGCCGTTAAGTCGGGAATGGGAAGTACGAAAGGTGCCTGACAGATACTGTATACAGAAGATACAACCGATCTATGTAACAGACTGAAGAGGGGCGAAAGCCTGAAACACGTATCTTTATGAATTAAAAGTGGATGATGAAATTATTAGCCAAGTGTCGAAAAATGCACCAAGTCGTGACATTGAATTAGAAATTAAGAAACTTTTAGACAATTAAGTTCATTCAATAAGGAAACTGAGGCCGGGGCACAAACAGATAAAGCATATTCAATAACAGATTGCACATTAGTAAAAAATATTGCACGAAGTGTATTTTGTTAAATACAGATTTGAAATTACCCTAGATCATTCTTCGACGAATAGAAAATTTCTAAATCAAGTTTTCTATGTGTAATTTAAATGACAGTCTGGGATCAATTAAATTATTAAACAGAGATTTGAACGTTATTGGCTATTCGTAGATTTTGATTATCGACAACTGAACTAATGCTGAATAGTTTGTCTGAAATTTATTGAGAAATTTAATATGTTGAATGATTTGTTTATTTATTTATATCACTTTGCAGTATGAGTTGGTTGTACAGTACTTTTCATGCAATTTTCATGTCATCAGCTTCAGCATTAATAAATGAAGAGGAAATAATAAATAAAGATTTATTAATATAAGCGATAAACGTAAAATTACTGAGAAATGAACCCTGCGGTATGCCAATTATTGGAGAAAAAGGAAAAAAGGAATTAGAATATTTTGTATTTATATGTACAGTACATAATAGAGAAAAATATATTTTTTGTTACGCTCTACCAACCTATCCAAGCTGCTGTTACCGACTAATTGCTAAGAATAAATATTTAATTTTGAGCTGTTCCTTTTACTTTAAAATTAAATATAAAAAATCCGTCAATGAAAATATTTTAAACAATTACAGAGAAAATTATTACACTATTAAGCCCACTTCCGTCTTTCATAAAGTGTATTGAAATTTTAAAAACTTATAAATTTCATATGGTAAATGAAAATTTTTAGTTAATTTCAAAATATTAGTTACACTTTACGACCGAAATTAAATCCGAACAGACCGAAACTGTAATATAAAACAGACCCTGCATTCCTTCTTGAAATAAAAGTTAAATTTAAAAGCTGAAAGTCCGAAACCTTAAGCTTTTAAATTTGCTGTTTTCCACTAAAAAAAATTAGAGCTTTACGCCAAGTCTTGTAGATCTTACTTCGAGGTATTTAACTGTAACTTGTTAAGCTTATGATCATATCGAACGCAAATTTATCGGAATCTCCGTCGGCCATTTCGCTAATTATTGAGAATAGTTATAACAATTTCAGTTTAAAATTCATTAAAATCTACTTCCGTAAATTTCCGCTAATCTAAAACCTTTAAACTTTTTGAAGAGAATTGCTGTCAATTATATTTTAATTAATTAATTATAATTTTCACCCAGAAATTTTACTTTAAAGTCTGCAATTTCTTCTGTAAATTGTCATTTGAATAAATAAGAATAAAATGTTAAAAATCTCTCACTCGAAGGGATCAGCCAAGGGACGATACCCAGCAAAATCAAAATTCATTTTCGAAATCTCCGAAATCGCACTCTTCAGAACAATAAGAGCAAACCAACAATCGGTCAATTGTCGAGTTCATTTGTTACGTCTTAAATAAAGACGAAAGAAAATGTTAATAATTAATTTCTAATATTTATTTTCATTTAAATTTGAGAATCTGACGCATGTATAATATATAATAACGACTGAATTGTTATGGTCGAAACTATAATGGGCCTGGTGGATTCGGGTTCAAATCTTTTCGGGAAACCTAGGCACTTTTCATGAACCGTCTGTACGGGATTTCATGCTTTTTTCGCGTTGCATTCGTTGTGGACCAGCCTGAACTCATGATGAAAGTAAAGTAATAGGTTTTTTTTGTGTCCAGAGAGCAGGAATTGTTTTTGTTTTTTGTCTTTCTGCTCTGTGGGCACTACGATGATGTTTCTAATTCAGTTTGTTTCTGCCCACAACGGAGGTGATCGGGTGTTGAGTAACGCGCCTCGATGTATCTGAAACACCAGACCACCAGAAACGTTTTGGGACTTTTCGACCGCCCGAATTCGATCTCTAATCCAAAAGATCGTTGAAAATAAAAAACGAAAAGTCATTAAACTATTCATTTTAATCTTTGGGTACAGGCTAGTATTAATGTCCGTTACAATTACTGTGCCGAATTTCGTTTCTAAATTTTTATCTTATCCTAAGATATTAAATGAAATACACACCCACACACCCACATTCTCTGTAACAGTTTTTTGGCGGTTCAAATATGTCAAAACATCACGATTCCGAAAACTCGAAAAGTCAAATATGACAGGATTACGATATTATAACTGTCGGGAATGTAACTTATGTTACGTTAAAAGAGTCAGAAAAGTAAAACGTCAAAATTTTAGATGATTTCGTACTTTTTCGTCTTATTTTATAACATTCAAGAAAGTAAAAATTAATAAGTTCGAATTAGCGGTTACTTAATTAATTAAGGTGAGGATTTTATTTATATCGCATTAAAAAAATTTTTATCTGTTCAACTTGGCTTTCTCCAAGATTAAATCCTAAGTTCGCCACTGTATGTTGTAATTTATGGACGAGCCCTAAGACAACAAAATGTTAACACAAGCAATCATATTCGTTAAAAGAAGTGACAAAAAGACAGAAAAAACATATAGACACAAGTTTTTTTAACATAATATAATTAACAAAACAATGTTTTTCATTCGATGTAGTAAATTTTATAATTAATTTCTATATTACTAAATTAAGGAATTATAAATTACTTATTATCGGCGATTTTAATATATATCTACTGAAAGATTCTTCAGTAAGTAATTGTTACTTGTTAAACTTTTGTTCTTCTGAAAATTTATTAATTTTGACTAACCAGAGGCAACCGACCAGATTTGGTAAAGACACTCACTTTTTGATGGACTTCGGGTTAACCAATATTAGTGAGTCAGAATTTGTAATTCATCGAGATTTATCGTCGTATTCTACGCCTATAGTTATCTTTCTCCCGACGAAAGATACGGAAATGGGTACTAATTCGTTAAAAACACTTAGGAAAATAAATAATTCACCAATACATCTTTTACGTGATGCACTGTCAGCTTGTTTCGCTTTGGATTACTATTATTCCGCAGATCTTTCTGTTGACCAATTGGCGGATTACTTCCAGGATATCCTGCATATTTTTATTAATAAACTAGCTGCAAAGACCCGCTTCACTGGGTTTTTATTAATTTGCATCTTAGTTCTGATTTATGCCAATAGATAGCGCGGTTAACGCTATAATATAAATAAGAAAATAGTAATTGCGCGCAGGTAAAATATTTTTATCCATGCGAAAACATTTCTTATGCTATAGGTAGGGTGAGTATTATGACAAGGACTATGAATATTACGTGATCGATCGATCGATTGCTGCCCCCTAGACGTGACGCCCGCGTGCAACGCACGCCCGCTTACGGCGGCCCTGCACTGCTACCATACTATTCCAGGCGTGATCTGTTCGTTTCTTTTGACCAGTTGTCATAGTTTATGCCCAAGGACTATATTTAGTCACATTCAATCATTCATTGTTTACCCATTAAGTTACCAGATTTCAATCTTTTCGTTAATCTCATAACTGATTAAAATTACATGGAAGTTTCCTTCCCTTATTCATTTTGATTAACTTAACATTGAATAGTATACTTCTTTTTTCAAAACGCTTTCCTTCCTGTGAGAACTAAGAGGGCACATTTACATATCTATTGTGGATTCAGCCAGGAAGTGAAGGAAGGAGCTCTCCACAACCCAACTCTCATAATTAGTAAGGTTTTTTTATTCGACTAGATTTGTTCCTGATAGTTAAAAAGTTGAATTTCAAACTGTTTAATTATGATAAATATCGTTACTTTTGACTTTACATCGATTAATTATCGCGAATGCTTAATAATTTTAAAAGAGATTGAATAATTTATATTCGATACTGAACGAGATGGAATTAAATGTACAATTTAGACACAGTTTATGCTTTAAATTATGTGCAATATTTAATTAATTTCAAACATTTTATCACTATGACCTTAGAGGACACATTGTGTTTGGAACATTGGTTGGAATATTAAGATTATTAACAGAACTTAATGTATTTAACAGTGCATTCACTCCATTCAATTACAAAATGAGATCTGCTTTTTCGCCTTTATCTCAAGAATACATCTTAATTAACTATACGTCGAAAACAATAGGTACAGTGATATTAAGGAATATAATTATACATCGCTTATTAACATCTCAGAAGCATATACAAACTTTGTTAAATAATAGGCTATTCTAGTTAATGAACTGTCACAAAATATTTGTTAACATTAATCCGATGATAATTATTTGATATTCTATTTGTTACTTAGTAGATGCAATATTAACTATTTTCTTCGTGTCTCTACACATTAATAAATCTGTATAGCAATATAAAACTACTAAAACATTAGAGGAGAAGGTGGTATTATGCAACCCCAATTACATTTTAGTGAATTGTAAACAAGGTATTATAACTACACCCACAGTTTTTGTGTGAAAAGTACCAGTAACTAGTAAACTAAATGTTCCTAATTGGATTTTTCGCTAGTGTAATTATAAGTATGGTTTTTGAAGGCTTTTGTACAAAAAGTCCGAAAGTAGGCTTAGAGAAAATCGGGTGGTAATATGGAACCTTACTGTATATTTTCAAAAAAATGCTTTAATGTAGCCAAAAACAAATAGGAAAGGACAAAAAAATGTTAAATAATTATCAAATTATTTACTCCAATGTATTTTATCGCAAAAATGTTTTTATAATAGAAAAATATGACCTCCGTCAACAATATATATTCCAGCAGCTTTTTTCGATATTCTCGGAAAGAATTGGCTTTCTACCTAGTGTCTTTTTTACAAATTGCTTTGCAGGAATGTCTGCTTGCAAATAGAAAGTTCGGAGGAGTTGAGTTCCATATTACTGTAAAAGCACCAATGGGATCCATATTTCACGCATCGCCATCTCGAATTAACTTATGTTTGTCGAGACCAAAATTTAAAAAACGTGAACATCACACAGATTAATATGTACCACTAAGTCTCTGGAACGGAATACATGCACCAGTGAACCTACAACTACACGATTTATATTTTTAAAATAATTAAATTCACTTAGCATTCAAAACTTGCGAATTTTGAAAAAAACAAATTTGCTGATTAAATACGGACAACCGTTTAACTGAAGTAAAACGGGTTTTCCCCTTGCTATGGATGTCTGTCTAGTTCAGTTCAGCCACATTCCGCTACAGTTTGCCTTTATTATCAGTTCGAAATGGGATGGTTCCATAATACCCGCAGTGTTCCATAATACCACCTTCTCCTTTACTAAATTCAAATAACTGGTATTTGAAACACGTTGCTTCAAAATAAATAAAACGGGATTACATTGACGTAATTGTAATTAAACAATCAAATAAACTTAACAATTCCGAGACCGAACGTAAATCAATTACAGTATAAATGTCTTTATAACAGGAATTAAATCAGTATTCATTCTGATATTCTGATCCAATTATTATATATTACCGTTTATTTTACTACTGGTGACCGTAATTTTTAGAACTTATTTTTTCCGTTATAATGAATACGAAGAAAAAAATTTCAGCCATTTTCATTCGAATGAGAGATGTTTGCGAAGATTTGACAGCTTCTACGAATTCTGGATTCATTCTTTAACTTTAATAATCCCGAAAACACGGAATGCAGAGTTGTGGCCATCTGCAAATAAAGCGTATAAAAGATTATTAAAACGATTATAGTATTAATTAACATGTTGCAGAGATTTATCGTATTACGCGAGGGTTTTTGTTTTAAAATCACAAGTACCGAATTTGAATTTCACGTAATGTAAAGAAAATTTCGCTATTCGAAATAATGAAACATTAAAAAACTGTGTTTTCTGCGAGTGAATTTCATCTTATTAACAGACAAAACATAAAAATGATGAATCGCTCAGTATTTATAAAGAGTTTTAATATGAAAAGTGCAAACAGTGAACAAATCGCAAAATGTTTTCTCCGTAAGAAAATTCAATGTGGAAAACGGAACATTGTGTTCTGAAAATTGTTGGCTTAGTACAAGAAATCTTTCTATAAACTATAAACATAAATTAATTTAAGAAAAGTGTTCAACTGTTGAGTTGCAGAGTGAAACTTAATCAAAATTCTCCATAAAAATAACAGTTAAGGCACTAAGCAATTTTTTAATGTGTCGATGGTAAGTTTTCTTAAGGTATCGATAAACAACGTATCATATGTAAACCTTTAGAATTACAAGGTAATCATCATACTTGCAATGCGCGTAGTTTCCAATTGTGAAAGCATTTCCACAATATACATTGATTTCAATTGCAAAATTATAAAAGTTCGTACTATGACACGCGTATTTCAGATTCGTCAGAAATTTAAATCTTAAATAATAATCAAAGACACCGCGTCAATAAAACTACCTTCTGAGGGATCCTCTTGTTGACACAAAAGAAGCCTCCTATTGTCAGACACAAAGACACTTTGCCGAATCTTTTCATGAAATCCAATATCTAACAAAAAATTAGTATTTAATATCAAATTTATTAAAGTAAAACCGAATTACAATAAAAGTAGAATGAAAATAAATCTGTACTTTAAGCTTTCGTTCCAGTTCCAAATGGCAGATTGCAAATCGACGAATGTCTTGAAATCCATTCCGCATCTAAACAGTTAAAATTATAAAGTCAAAAATTAAATTAAAGATTAAAACATTAAAACAATTAATCAAGTGTAAATAACGAATACCGTGAAAGCGATGCAGCATAGCAAACAGCCACAGATAATGCAGACGAATGAAAAAACAATCATCAGTGCCAACATGAAAATTTTAAAAATCCAATGCATATCGACGTACAAGTATGCGTAATACAAAAAGCTCGTGCCCCAAATTATTTCGAAATAAACAAGTACGAAAGGCAATTCGAATTTTGTGTTGAACTGATTGATGTAAATCCACAATTCTTGGTGACGGATCATCAAATTTTGTAATTTCATTTTCAAATTTCTGTCGCTTCTTCTTATCGTAGACATTTCGTAATTAAGTTCTTCGTATTCTTTCTGGAGGACAAGTATAAATAAAGCGCCTAACAGTAGACCATACGCAATTCCTCCTGTAATTAAAATCATAACAAATGCCAACTCAACCGTACAAATGAGAGCTTCATATCGAAAATGTTCTCTGTTTACTAGAGCCGGATAACAAACAGTCAGATTGATAATTTGTAAAAGAATCGTTAATGTTATTACAATGAACAAAACGAAAAAGGAGACGTTTCTCAATAGAGTATTATTTTCGAAAATGAATTTCTCATAGAAATATCTGTTTTTCAATTTAGTAATTAGATTGAGCTTATTGCGATTGGTGAACGTTAGCATGATTGAGTAGCTGCAGAATATAAATAGAAATGCAGTTTTCATTATTTTAGCATCCTTTTTATATACTTCGTGCCATCCAAGACACAAAGCATATTCGTCTAATCCTGGTAACGATTGCCATAAATAGAGGGCAGAAAATTGCCATAATAGAAACTGAACACATTGAAGATAAAGTCTTTTTACTTTTTGATTTTTAAAACAGTATATTCGCTGTTTGCAGGGACAAATTCGATAGGCATCTAAACCGAAAATAAGGGCTGTTGTCCAACAGGGTCTCAAGAAACAACTCATGCAAATTTCCTCTTGGATATTCGAATTCATCTTGCAGTAGTGGTTTAAACTCTAAAACAATGAGATACTTACTCCTAACTGTAGGTTAGGTAAGAATAATTCTGATCACCCATAATTTTATCTGCGTATAAAGTTGCTTTAAGAAGAACGAAATTAAATTCTTTCATGCCTTATACGCCGATGTTTATCACGAACGCATTCCTAGTTAATGGATTTTGGAACGCATTCCTAGTTAAATGGTAATGCATTTACTTGTTTGGTATGGTAAACAAGTAAATGCATTTTATGCATTTTAAAATGCATAAAGTCATATTTTATGATTCTATCATTTTATAATACAATATAAAATATGCATGGATTTTAAATGCATTGTGTACGCATTAATTTGTTTACTGTGCCAAAGAATTTAAAGATGTTTAATGAAATTGTGATTTTTTAATAAGAATGAAGACAAAATCTGGCCAAAATCTTATAGGCAGATTTCGTCTTCATTCTTATTGAAAAATAATTCTCCCTCAGACGAAAGTTTACTGATGAAATTGTCTTCATTTCTTTTTAAAAGAGAATAAGGCGTTATCTCGTAGATAATAAATGCCTCTTTCCGGTACAATTAGATAACATACCTAGCTAAAGCTCAGGGAACAATTCAAAATATAAATATAAACGCGTAAGTAAACGTTACAACCATTAATTATAATAAAGTATTTTCTACAAGTGCTTTAAATTTGTGCAGATCTAGATAAAACTTGTCCTGGAGATTTTCAATTGCTTTATTATGGCGATATGAAAATGATTGGCTTGTGACACTCAAACGGCAAAATGGCGTGTTAATGCAGGCGTTTTGTCTTTTTGTAAGAGAAGAAATACGAATGTGAATATATTGGGAAGGGAGTAAACCATAAAATATTTATAAGTATATATTTGACCAAAGTATTGTATGCGTTTAAGAAGAAGAGTAAGCGGTCTGTAAAAGCTTGGTGAGAAATTTTATTGAGTTAAGAAATAAACTGGCTAAATAAAATGGCTACAATTATTAAAATAGAATGTTGATACAGTCGCAGGCGAGGCTGCGTGCGGCACTCGGGGAGTGAGACGTTACAAGTTACGAGGCATGCGGGGGAGGCCGTTAAGTCGGGAATGGGAAGTACGAAAGGTGCTTGACAGATACTGTATACAGAAGATACAACCGATCTATGTAACAGACTGAAGAGGGGCGAAAGCCTGAAACACGTATCTTTATGAATTAAAAGTGGATGATGAAATTATTAGCCAAGTGTCGAAAAATGCACCAAGTCGTGACATTGAATTAGAAATTAAGAAACTTTTAGACAATTAAGTTCATTCAATAAGGAAACTGAGGCCGGGGCACAAACAGATAAAGCATATTCAATAACAGATTGCACATTAGTAAAAAATATTGCACGAAGTGTATTTTGTTAAATACAGATTTGAAATTACCCTAGATCATTCTTCGACGAATAGAAAATTTCTAAATCAAGTTTTCTATGTGTAATTTAAATGACAGTCTGGGATCAATTAAATTATTAAACAGAGATTTGAACGTTATTGGCTATTCGTAGATTTTGATTATCGACAACTGAACTAATGCTGAATAGTTTGTCTGAAATTTATTGAGAAATTTAATATGTTGAATGATTTGTTTATTTATTTATATCACTTTGCAGTATGAGTTGGTTGTACAGTACTTTTCATGCAATTTTCATGTCATCAGCTTCAGCATTAATAAATGAAGAGGAAATAATAAATAAAGATTTATTAATATAAGCGATAAACGTAAAATTACTGAGAAATGAACCCTGCGGTATGCCAATTATTGGAGAAAAAGGAAAAAAGTAATTAGAATATTTTGTATTTATATGTACAGTACATAATAGAGAAAAATATATTTTTTGTTACGCTCTACCAACCTATCCAAGCTGCTGTTACCGACTAATTGCTAAGAATAAATATTTAATTTTGAGCTGTTCCTTTTACTTTAAAATTAAATATAAAAAATCCGTCAATGAAAATATTTTAAACAATTACAGAGAAAATTATTACACTATTAAGCCCACTTCCGTCTTTCATAAAGTGTATTGAAATTTTAAAAACTTATAAATTTCATATGGTAAATGAAAATTTTTAGTTAATTTCAAAATATTAGTTACACTTTACGACCGAAATTAAATCCGAACAGACCGAAACTGTAATATAAAACAGACCCTGCATTCCTTCTTGAAATAAAAGTTAAATTTAAAAGCTGAAAGTCCGAAACCTTAAGCTTTTAAATTTGCTGTTTTCCACTAAAAAAAATTAGAGCTTTACGCCAAGTCTTGTAGATCTTACTTCGAGGTATTTAACTGTAACTNAATATTAATAAAGGAAACTGTTCATTATTTCAAAATTATCTGATATTAGTCTAAGTTTAGGAAAGTCAGAGTTAGTGGTGTTTTCTCTGACTTGGGAGATAAATATACAGTACAATAAATTATTACAATCTGCTTTATGAAGAAGTTTTACTGCTGAATTTATTAATATAAGAAATCACTCAAGAAATTTCATTATGTTGCCATATAGTGTCTTTAGTAACTTACCAATTACAGTAATATCAAATATTTTTATTTGCATTAAGGCTAAGCCTTGTTACAGGGGGTATTTTTCAATAATATATTATTATACATTTGTTTTAATTTTCATCGTTTGATATACATCACACTCAAGATCATTAATAACATTACAATAATCGTTTAGTATTAAATTTTATCATTATTTTCCTTTTTAAATATTTTACTTTAAGTAACATAATTAGTAAAAACAATTTTTTATTTTATTTTATTAATTTATTACATATTTTTTAGTTCTCTGGCAATTTGATTAAAAAAAAACCATTAATTTTATACATTTGATTTAACGTAAGATTGTTTAATTTAGTTCTAAAGTCTTGATTTT